TATATATATATATCAAATATGAATTAATAGTTTGATTTGGTGTAGTAGTCTTCAAAGCACTTGTAATACATTGTGTCCATGGTATGCCTCCCACTTGATTCACACTTTTGTTATATTTCTCCTTCAAAATATAATTAAATACTTAGTGTCTATGGATCAATGGTCTCAAAATCAAAAGCAAAAAATGGTGGTCCCAACCATTTTTTTTACAAGTTTTTACCAATTTAATGACATCATTACCAAGTTTAATTGCTCAGGTCCTAATCGAACATATTCGAATTGGATTTTAAACTATGGTCATAATCATAGGTTTTGTCAACATAGTAAACATAGAAGTAAGAATGTCATCATAAAGAGATAAAAATGGCAATTGTAATATGTTTGCAGTAGCAATCAAATTCTAAAAGAAGAGAGAATAAACATTTAACACATAAGAGGATGATTATTGGAAGTATTAACAAAGTCACACATCATTAAAACAAGAGAAAGAACATAGGTTTAAAAATGCACAAATGTCTCCATTGGTATGAGACCTTTTGGTGATGATAAACAAATTCATAAGGGTTTGAGTCCAAAATGGATAATATCGTACTAATGTCAGGACATATGTATGGACCCACAGTACACTACAAATGGTATCAGATTTGATGGTTTAACTAAGTAACAAACTAATAAGAGTATAATGGAATCAACAATGGATTCAAACATAGGAACCTTAGTGTCAAAAATTTTCTTGATGGTTGGTTCATGTATATGGAAAGTCTTCTTGGTAACATGGAGGTTAGGCAACATTTCCCTTTATCATGAGCTAATGGTAGAGCAATGATGCAAATACCTAGAACATGACTAAGCTTTATGGGTCACTATTGAATACTCGTGAACTAAAATAAATGATTTCCTCTATAAGGAGAGGTTCAACCATGATCCTTTGTTTGAGAAGAAGATTGTTGGGATATAAGTAAAGTCCTACATTCTTAGAATAAGAGGAAGAACATAAGGTTATAAGTACATGAATGTCACCATTGGTATGATGCCTTTTGGATGATAACTAAAAGCAAATTCATAAGGATTTAAGCCAAAATGGATAATATCATATCAACGTGGAGACATGTGTGAACCTTTGGTGCACAACATAATACTTTGGTAGAGTCATGTTGCTATGTCAATGTCATCAAAGTTGTTAAAGTATTGTGACTAATCTCAAACCCAAACTTTAACTTTGGAAAAATTACTCATCGCTAATCGAGTCAAGTTGTGACATGCATGAATTCTTGACCTTTCCCCCCCTTTGAAAAAACATATCATTGTGCAACTCATCCCAAACCCAAAATTGACCTTCAATTTTGAAGATTGATTGAGTAATGAGGTTATAATAATTATGTGATTAATGTATTTGTAGCCATATAGAGCTTCCTAACACCATCATTTTACGATGATGTTAGTGGAGTTGTCGATGTGTTCAATTGACATTGAGGGAGCTATAAATATTGGTGATCGCCAATTTTAGTAGGTAAGTGTTGTTTGTGTGTTGAAAAACTATAAAAAGAAACAAGATTCACACAATTTTCTCAAAAAGAAAAAGATTCTTATCAACACAAGATGAAAAGGAAATAAGTAAAAGAGGATTTTGATATATTTCAAAGTATCAAATATAAAACATCAATAAATGTTCATCACAGATTGGGTTAAATTGAAGAAACGGTAGAAAAAAAAAAGGAGAGAAAAATAGAGATAAAAAAACAATAAATATGATAAAAGAACTTAAATAATCCTGTACAATCACATGTATGGTGATAACCTAAGGTAAATGTGAATCATAAAATCTTAATTATTAAGATAACTAAAAAAGTTTAAATACTAGATATAAGGCTTTATTGATTTTATTATTTTTTATTCATATTAATTAATAAATTTTCTTAATTGCCAACCTTTGACCGATTTAGGTGAATATGTCTTATTGATTATTTATGATCATGTAATGGTTGGGGTGGGTAGATGTATGTAGACTTATGTTTGATTATCATCAATATCATTATATTTTTTTTATTGATAACAAATTAATATATTTTTTAACACAAATAATTAAGATTTAAATATATTTTTAATTTTTGTAAAATGAACAATTTTTTTTTTGATCATATATTTTTTGCTTTTATTTTTATCTCTCTAAAATTTTAAATTATTGTTTTTAATCACACTGTTATGTGATCTTTGTAAACTACTTATGTGTTTATCAAAATATTAATTGGACATCCTAGATGACACCCACAAGTATCTCTCACATTAATACGTAACATCTCTAATTTATTTTTATAAATATTTAAAACAAAATATCATTTATCTATTTTTTTAAAAATGAATATCAAGAAAAAAATAATATTTCACATTTAAAAAAGATAAAAATTAAAGAAAAATATTTTACATAAAGTAAAACAAAATTTTATTATGTTACAACTATTAAACACAATAATTTTAAATTTTAGAGAATGAACGCTAATTTTTTTTTTGTCAAACAAAAATTAAACAAATATGACTTCTTTTTATATTTTGGCCTTATTTTAAAAAAATGTATGAATAACTTAATTTTACCTATCTTATTTTATAAGTGTTTAAAAGAGTATTTACACAAACTTATAAAATATTTTATTACTAACTTATAAGATGTTTTAAACTTATATCTTATTACTAAACTTATACGAAAACTTATTAAAAAAATACTTAAGTTTGAATCTTATCATTAGCGTAAATAATTTTTATTTTTATTTTTTCTATTCTTTCACTAAAGACCAATTTTATAGTTTTTTTTTTCATTATTTCATTCATTTTTTTTTTAATTTTTCCTTTTTTTTTCTTCTTTATTTTTTTCTTCTATTCCATTTTTTTTTCTATCTCTTCCCTTCACATTCTACTATTATAAAAAAAAAATCTTGTAACTTTTTTTCTCTCTAAATTAATACACATGGAAAAAAATTGTTGTTTATATTTATATAATAATTTTTTAATCATGATTATAAAATATATAGAATTGATTTTTAATCTTTTAAATTAATGGTTCTTAATTTTTAATACAGTTATATATAATTTATTTCTCATATTTTATTAATAATTTTTTTATTAACTAATTTAGATAAATATTTATTAGTAACTTTTTTTTTAATTTTTAATATTATTGTGATGTATAATTTCATTTTTAAGAATTATTTACTTATTTTTATGATTTTATTTTATTTTTTATCAAAATTTAATTTATAATTTTTTTTTTAATTTTTAAAATGAGATAGCATCTTATAATTTTAATAATGATATATTTAAATATTTTAAAATTGTAAAAATACTTTTTTTAAAACGAAAAATTATACAATTGTTAATATGTATATTTAAATACAATAATTTTTTATTAAATTTTAAGTACTTAAACATAAATTTTTATTATATAAAAATTTATTAAATAAAATCTTAAATATATTATTTATTCACATGAGTTTTTATAAATCTTAAATATAAAAATATATATTTAAAGTAATAATTTATTTTATATTTTTTTTATCATTATAAATTATGTAACTGATACAATACATGCAATAGAAAATTGTTTTATAATTCTCTGTATCTTCATCGTTGTCTTGAGCGTTTCACCAAGCTGTTACCAAAAGCACATCCGCTTTCTCTTTCTCTTCGTAAGCACTCTTCTCTCTCTGTCTTTCTCTTCGTTTCTGTAATCTTTCTTTCTCTATCTTTCGGAATGTTTATTTATTTAATTAAACATATATGTGTATGATTAACTGAATATATATTCTGCAATTGAAGCTTTTGAGGTTCAATTCAACTATGGTGGGAGTGTGCACCCTCAGCAATTCATCAAGTTGAAGCTTTTTTAGTTCCGATTCATCTGGGTCTCGTGATTGCTTGATGCTGATATAGTACTTTAGGGTTTCATATTTAGAATCCCCATAGAAGTTTTGTACTCTCTCTATGTTCTCTTTTGCAATGAAATGCTTCTGGGTGGCTTTGTAATTTTTCCCTTTTCTTGTTTTGTGTTTTTGTGGTCAAAGTTCATACCTTTGGCCGATTCCCCTAAATAGTGTACAATCAACAATTATCATGGCGTTGCTATAGTGTTCTTTTTTTTTTTTTTTTTTTTTTTTTTTCTTTTTTTTGTCTTTTTTTTTTTTT